ATGCTCCATCAAAGAACAGGTTCCATCAGGATCCTTGTTCAGGTCCGTCATGTGGTTTGATTTCTTTGCAGTTGTCTAATGTCATGATGTCTTCATCCGGGAATTCAAACTTCATGGACTGATAGTCTTCTACAACTTGGTGAGCAAGGTGATCAACTAGCACACTGCCCTTTATAGCTTTCTGGGTAGTATACTGTATGTCATATTCCGTCAAGATCATCTGCCATCTCGCTATTCTCCCAGAAAGAGCAGGCTTCTCGAAGATGTATTTTATCGAGTCCATCTTAGATATCAACAAGGTAGTATGAGTCAGCATATACTGTCTTAGCCGGCGAGAATCCCATGCCAGATCGCAACAAGTTTTCTCGAGCAGTGAATATCTGGTTTCACAGTCGGTAAACTTTTTACTCAGGTAATAAATAGCATGCTCTTTTCGGCCAGACTCGTCATGTTGTCCCAATACACACCCCATTGAGTTTTCTAAAACAGTTAGATACATAATCAACAGTCTTCCCTCAACTGGTGGCTTCAACACATGAGGCTCTTGCAAGTATTCTTTGATTTTTTCTAAAGCAACTTGGCATTCATCATTTCATTTGACTACTTGATCTTTCTTCAAGATCTTGAAGATTGGCTCACAAGTAGCTGTCGGGTGAGAAATGAATCTGGCAATATAGTTCAAACGTCCCAAGAATCCTATGACTTCCTTCTTAGTATGAGGAGCAGGCATCTCTTGTATTGCTTTAACTTTGGCAGGATCGACCTCAATACCCTTGTTGTTGACGATAAATCCTAGGAGTTTACCAGACCGTACCTCGAATGTGCACTTGTTTGGATTCAACCTCATCTTGTACTTCTTCAGTCTATCAAACAGTTTTTGTAAGTGATCAAGGTGCTCTTCTTCTGTTTGCAATCTGGCTATCATATCGTCCATGTAGACTTCTATTTCATGATGTATCATGTCGTGAAATAAAGCTACCATGGCGCGCTGATAGGTTGCCCCAACATTCTTCAGTTCGAATGGCATCACCTTGTAGCAGAATGTGCCCCACTATGTGACAAATGTTGTTTTCTCCATGTCCTTAGGTGCCATTTTGATTTGGTTGTAACCTGAGAATCTGTCCATGAAGGAAAACACTTTGTGTCGTGCAGTATTGTCAACTAGGATATCAATGTGGGGTAGTGGAAAATCATCTTTAGGGCTCGCCCTATTCAGGTCTCTGTAGTCCACACACATTCGAACTTTGCCATCTTTTTTGGGCACGGGAACAGCATTGGCAACCCATTGGGGGTAAGAGGTGACATCCAAGAATCCAACGTTAAATTGCTTCATGACCTCTGCTTTAATCTTTTCTGACATATTAGGCCTCATTCGATGTACTTTTTGCTTTACTGGCGGACAATCTTCTCTTGTAGGCAGACGATGTACCACAATATCTTCATCAAGTCCTGGCATGTCTTTATATGACCAGGAAAAGACTTCTACATAATCATGCAACAGCTGAATCAGACACTTCTTAATACTGGGTTCCAGATTGGCACCCACCTTGACCTCTTTTGTGAACAAAAAATGCAAAACCAGTAGTAACTAAAAAACAGTCAGTTTTGCCATCGCATCACATAATTCCTTCAGTAGCCCTAGTCATCTCAGCATCTTTGATATCTTTTGTGAGGCCTTCAGTAGCCTTCTTAGTTTCAACACCTGCAGAGGAACCATCGGTGATTTTACCCCCCATGGTGTGGATCAATGGGACCTTTAGTGACCTCCATCATATTGATGTCTAAAGGTTCAACGTAGTTAGTCTCTTCCACCTGCAGAGGATCAGTATCAACCTTTATCTTACTCTTCTCATCGAACCTTTGCCTTCCGTCGGTGATAGAATTTTGAATTAGATCCATGAAAAGAAAACACTGTGAGGTTTTATGTCCTAAAAACTTATGATATTTAGAAAAACCTATTTTCTTCCGTTGTTCTAACAACGGAATTTTGGAACTAGGTGGCACTATCATTTGGCCATCCTTTACCAATAAGTCAAATATTTCATCATATTTCGCTACATCGAAAGTGTATGTTTTCTTATGGAACTTATCGTTTTTCTCTTACTCGACATGATTCTTCCCATTCTAAGGGGCTAAGACTTTATAGGAATAGGGTGGGGCTTGTTTTAATTTAGCCAAGTCCACTTTGCTTTCTTTGAAACCTATAGGGTCACTATAGATCTCTTGTTCATCTTCTTCGGCTTCGACATATGCCACCTTTTCTTTTCTATTATTTTTACCTGCCCTAGCCTTTTTAGCCTTCAATCGTTCGACTTGTCGAACTCTATCTGCTAATTGGGCCATGTCCCTTAAATATTGGGTATCTAACTTCTTTTTAATTGAATAATCTAAACCGCCTGCGGCCATTTCGACCAACTCATGTTCAGACACCTGTGTAAAGCATCTTGCCTTCAAAAGACGGAACCTATTTAGATAATCATTAATTGGCTCTGTGAATTTTCTTTTGATACTAGCCAATTTTGTGAGACTAATCTTCGATTGTCCCATGTAAAACTGTTCATGGAATAACCTCTCTAAGAGAGTCCATTCATGGATAGAATTTGCTTGAGAGGGTTGTGAACCATGTAAAAGCATTTTTTGACAGCGAACTAGGGAAGTATTTTATCCTTAGATTTTCATTATTCTCTATGTCTCCAGCCTTGGTAAGATACCTGGCTATGTTCTCGATAGTAGATTTGCTGGTGTCACCATAGAATTTTGTGAGCTTTGGGAATTTCCAACCCCTGGGTAATTCAGTCTGTAGAACATACTCAGATAGAGGGATGTGTAATTTGGCCTTTTAAGGCCTATATTTACTCCATTTCGAGCCATTATTCTTTTGACCATGGCTGCTAGACTATTTTCCTCTGGGTATTTGTCTTGTCGAACACGCTGAAGGATTTCATCTGTGTCCTAGTTTCAGTTGATCATCACAACCCTTTGGGCTGGGATCTCCCTTGGTATGGCTTGTTCGACCCTGGGTTGTTCGATTCTAGGTCCATGATTGACTTCACCAGCATTCTGCACTATTGGTTGCGCTTGGTTTTCTCTCCTCCAATCTCGACAGGCCTGTCAAATTGGCGCTTGGGGAGCGCCAAATAAATCTGTAATTCATGCCATATGTGCCGCTAATTATTGACTTGTTTGGGCATTTTGTTGGTTGGTTTGACTATCACTTTGGATTAATGGGTTATATATTGTACCCATTTGTTGGGCTAGAACACCAACCATTTCATGATTATTGTCATCCATTTCTTGTCAAAACACCGCTGCAGAATTTGTTGTTAGGTTGGGCAATTATGCGGCGAATCCTAGGGATGGGACATTTCAACCCTTGTTATTAATTCCTAATCCTGATCCTTGTAGTGGCGAAAATGTTGACATTCTAGGGTCAGGAAATGTGGATGTGCTATTGTTTAGGCTTGTCATCATTGATGTTGGCATGTCATACATTTGTTCGTGACCATCCATTGACATTCTAAATCCAGATGAAAATGCCTAAAATTATTCGTCCCTGGTGGTCTTGTGTTCGCTAGGGAACCCTACGAGTGCAGTGGGGATAGAATTAGACCGCTGAAAGCATTTGTCGATGTTCTCGTCGTATTTGCTTGAACGAGTATCGATTCAGTTACAGATAACACAGTCGTACTTTCCCCTGTCGAAGGGGGTGGTTATTTTCCATTGTTATTGGGTGGGTTAACCATCTTCCTAGTGTACTTCCTCTTGGGTATATGTTTGCTAGTCTCGGCTAACTTTCCACTCCTTAATCTCATACAACAATGTCAAAAAAAAGGACTAAATAAAGTACAAAAAATTTGTGACACGATTTCGACACTGGTCCCACAGGGTGTTGTCATACCCTAATTTTCGCCCCTAAGATCATCTGTCACCTACAAGAATCACATATATTTTTCTTGGCAAAATTCCTCAAGATACAAGTTTTTTTTCTTTATCAGAATTTCTCCAAGGAACCGGTGCATTAAGATTTGACTTGCATACTTAAAACTTTATCATGTCTTCATTGAGAATGTTTTTGAACTAGGGTTTTATTCTTCTCAACATCTCAAGTCACTTTTGCCTCAATGTGCACCCAGAGCCAAAGAATTATGATTTTCTTCTATGTTGTGCCTGAGCATTGGTGTTGTTTATTCAACAATGATTCTTATTTTGAATTGGTTTTCTCATCAAGGCTACAAGGATCATCATCCTATCCTCATTGGAAGTTCATCATCAACATTTAACATATCTTCTAATAGCTTTCTCTACAAGGCTTTCCTTTCAAGAATTTTTGAGGATTTAATCAAGAGATTTCTTTCTTATGATGTTACTTGTCAAGTGATTAAGGATTGCTTTAAGTTTTCATCAAATCAATATATGTCTTATTGGTTGGGCTATGGGTTAGGAGCTCATTTATCTTACATTTTCAAAAGGAACTTGGTTGCTTCTGGAATTTGTTATTCAATTTGAGACTAGGTTTCATCAGTCAGATGACATGTATTATTTTCATGCTGTCATGGAATATTGACGCTCAAATTCACACGGGCTATGGTGCATATTTTTTTCTCGAATTAATTCAAGCTAGATTGAACAGTTCATGTGGTTTTCATCATTTCAAGCACACACTAGTTTTAAATCATAGTCCATGAACAAAGTTGATTAAACATGATGGGTTTTTAAACTACAAAAGATTACCTCCAATTTTCTTGGAAACTATGAAGTCTAATTCATGTGTTGCAAATAGTGATAATGCACGTTGTTCTGGCGCACAAAAAGAAATAAAGTGGCAAGCTTTTTATTTAAATAATGATAGTTCGAGCTCTTAATCTCAAGGGATCATTGTTTTGTCTGAATTCATTTTCAAACTGTCAAAAATTACAATCAAAATTCATCCAAGGTAATAGTCAAATTCAATTACAAACTAATATCATCATCATCGTTCAAATGATCATAATGCATACAAAATGACCATAGCAAGTCAAGTAATGTTGTGTTGCTCCATCCTCATGAAACTTCTAACACGAATCCTTCAGATGACTCCTGGCTTTCTGAATTCAGAACATCATCAGAGGAAAATTGTCCAGAGTCAAGCCGAAGTAGTTTATCATACGTTTCCGTTATGGTGGAGGATTACAATGGCAATGTAGGTCCCAAAAAATCAGACTTTCAAGAGGAAGTCATCCAGTGGTTAGCACTACTGATCTCGGGATAAATCATTCTTCTACAATTTCAAAAAATTATGCTTCTGCGATAAATGAGATACCTTTTATGTAGTCTAAATATGCTTGATTTAAAAAGAAGGTGTTGGAAAATAGGCTAAGCATTCAGTCTGCCTTCATGTAATTTGGTTGAATCATTCGACTAAGAAACTGTTGAGTTAACTTCTCAGAAGAGTATGAGTAACCATCTCACAACAACCATCGGTTAGTTTCAGTTTGAGTCGAATCAGAAGACGATTCAGTTTCAAGGAAGGCCATGCATACCTGTTTTGAAAATATAACAGAAAAATAGGGGGAATTAATCACAAACCATGACAGAAAATCCAGTTCAATAAACATGTCCATAAACTTGCGTAATCAGAAAAAATAAATTGTTGTCTACAAGCATTTGGTGGCCTGGTTCCTCTCCTTGCTTACCTCAGGAACTCTCATGCCAATATTCAAGTCAAGGTAGATGATGTTATGACTACAATAGTTCAAAATAATCCTCGAAGCCCGCAATTTATCACGGAAGCAAACGACTTTGAACCTCTTGTGTCAAATTTCAGTTCAGATCCTGGTGTAGCTAGCAAACACTTTGAGTCTCCTCTTAAAGCCTCTGCTGGGAATCCTAATTAAAAATAGAATTCCAACAACAACAAAAAACTTCGCCGATTCTACTTCAATCTTCCCTCTTCTCTCGGTAACTGAATCTTCAACCTCACAAATCTTCATCATTCACCAGCATCTTCAACATACAGTGACAGTTTCAGCAACATCAACACAGCCCAAGATTCACTCAGCATCAATGATGCACAAAAAATGCACATAGAGTTATCTTCGTCAGATCATCTTCACCGTCGTCGCCTTCGAGGTAGGTCACGCTTCCTTTTTCATTCGTTTCTTGACACCGCAATGTGACTCTTGCCTCCGCCAGATGCAATCTTCGGCGCGGCCGAGCACCACACATCTGAAGTCGCAGTAAGCCTAAGAGAAAGAGAAAGGGTGAAGCACGAAATGAGAGAAGAGGCTTCGTATCCACAAGGAAACCGAAGATTCACAATGTCTGAACCCTATTTTCCATACAAAACGCGGTCGTTTTCCTTCTTGAGATTACTTTCTTTTGTTTTTTTACATATGTAATTGTGATTAAATTCTAGACAAAGGTATGGTGATGATCATGATTTTGGACCGAGATTATGGATTAAACTCCCCAGGTCAGTGACCACTTTCTTTGTTTTCCTGAAATACCTTGGACAAAAAAAAAGGCCATGTTAGATCTTGTTTATTGGGCTTTTCTTCCTCCCTGAGCCCGTTAGCAGCATAACAAAAAGCAATCCAATAGGCCTAGCTCTGCAGGCTGAGCCCTATGCCTGATTTGGTTTTCAGACTCCATGATTCTGGGTTAAACCCCCATGACTCTCTTTTTTTTTATTTTTTATTTCATAACATTTTAGTTTTAGTTTCTTTTTCTATAATTTTGATAATAAAAGATACATAATAAAAACTTCAAAAAAATAGTATTGAATTTTAGAATATTTTAGGATTTCTCTTCGGGAATTTTGATTAGAATTTATGTTATAATTTACGTTTAGTGATCATTTTGTTGCCGAGATTTTGTGATTCACCGTTATTTGTTGAGATATGAGTCTTATACAAATCTACTGTGTGATATGTGGATATGCTTGAGCTTCCGATTGTGGTTTATTTTCACATCGATGATGTTTCGACACTTATTTTGAGCATTCGATATCTGACTATTTGTTTGTTTATGCTAGCTCGCGTGAAGTATTTTGGGTTTCTTTGCTTCGATTACGCTTTTTGCGAACATTATTGTTTGTTTGGTATTACTGCTTCCAATTTACCTTTTCGCATTTTATTACTTTCTAGATATCATGAGAAGTAGGATAATAAAGAGTGTGCGTTCGAAGTCGCTGTTTAAAGACATGTAGTAGGCATTCCACACTTGTTTGCTAATTGTGTTTGTGTTTGTTTTCATGGGTTGACGATTGATGATGTCGCTCAATTAGAATTGAGATAACGACTTCGATCTTTGCATGCTCCCCTTAAGATTTTCATTTTCCATTGTTGACGATTGATGATGCACTCAATCAAAATTGAGATAACGACTTCGATTTTTACATGTTCCCTTAGGGTCGCTCGACTAGGGTAACTTTCGAGCTAGACATTAGGATAGTTATCCATACATGCTAACATAGGGTAGATATTTCCCTTTTCATCCTTAACATAGGTTCATCATTGTATGATAACACTATGGATTAGAATCTAGATAGTCTCTCTTAGGTGTTTTCTTCCCATTATGCATAATTGCATTTAAAACTAAAACTTCTTTTTCTTGGAAAATGTATAAAACATGTTAACCATACAAAAATCATTTTCACGATAAAAAAACACCAACCAATTCATTTATTCTCGCCATTCGGCTTTTCTCTTCTAAGAACGTGTTGATTCCTTTCCACTACAATGTGTGAGTCTCCAATGGTCAAGCGGCGGTGGAATGATTGAATTAATATCGTTCATTAAAAAACACAAAACAAATCAAAACATATGAGCTGAACTACGACGCTCTGATTCCTTAAAAAGGATACGTAGGCATCTGGTCACGGGGCTCAGCCGAGCGGAAATTTGTAAATATTTACTTTTTTTCCTCGCGTTTTATTTGCATGCATTCCCTCTTTGTGTTTTTATTTTAGCTCTTAAGAATTAGATTGAACACACCCTTTTATTAGAACAACAAGAGTGGATCTCGTAGAATACTACAGACGTGAGGGGTGTTAATACCTTCCCTCGCATAATCAACTCCCATACCCGATCTCTCGGTTGCAAGATCTTGATTTCTCCCTTCAGGTTTTTCTTCGATGATTTTCCTTTCCCTCTATATGGGATAAATAAATACTCGTGGCAACTTCATTGATTTTACTGCTACAATGCGACACATTCTTTCATGTGTTAAGATATTGAATCTTGAGTTATCTGATATGAATGGAAGTATAGTTATTGATACTCCTATTATGGGTTTAATGACTACTTCATATGTGTGTTTGAATTGTTTGTTGAGTATTTTTGGTAAAGACTTTGGAGTTGATTTAATGTGTCTTCTGTTGGATCAACTTGATGTTATTATTGGGATGAATTGGTTGGGATACAACCATGTTTATATCAATTGTTTTGATGATATGATTATCTTTCTTGATTCTATTTTTTAGAGAGATTTGTTTATATCTGACAAGCAAGTGAATGAATTTGTGCAGGATGGTGTTGTGTTGTTGGCTTTGATGGCAACATTGGATTTTGGTGGGAAATGAATGATTGATGAATTAGTGATAGTTTGTAATTTTTCCAAGGTATTTCCTGAAGATGTAAGTGATTTTTCGCCAGAGTGTGAGGTGGAGTTTACGATCGACTTAGTTCTTGGAACTAGTTCGGTATCGATGGCTCCATATTGAATGTCAGCATATAAATTGAAAGAGTTGAAAAGTTAACTTGAGGATTTGCTTGGGAAAAGATTTACTCGTCCTAGTGTATCACCGTGGGGTGCACCCGTTTTGTTGGTTAAGAAGAAAGAAGGTACTATGAGGTTATGTTTGGATTATAGACAACTGAACAAGGTGACTATCAAGAATAAGTATTTACTTCCGATGATTGATGATTTGATGGATTAGTTGGTTGGTGCAAGTGTGTTCAATAAGATAGATTTGAGGTCTAGGTATCATCAGATTCGTGTGAAGGCTGAAGATATTCAGAAGAATGCTTTTAGAACAAGGTATGGTCATTATGAGTATTGTGTGATGTTGTTCAGTGTGACTAATGCACCTGGTGTATTTATGGAATACATGAACAGGATTTTCCATCAGTATTTAGATAAGTTTGTTATTATGTTTATTAATGATATTTTGATATATTCAAAGAGTGAAGAGGATCATGCTGAACATCTGAAGATTGTGTTATCTATGTTGAAAGAGAAGCAGTTGTATGCTAAGTTTTCTATGTGTGAATTTTTGTTGAAGAATGTGGGTTTCCTTGGTCATGTGATATCAAAAGGTGGTATTTCTATTGATTCGTCAAAGATTGAGGTTGTGTCTCAATGGGAAGCTCTAAAATCTATTTCTGAGATTAGAAGTTTTCTTGGTTTAATAGATTATTATCAAAAGTTTATTATAGGATTTTCCAAGTCAGCTTTTTTGTTGACGCAATTGACTAGGAAGGGTTAAGCTTTTATTTGGACTGCTCAGTGTAAAGCTGGTTTTCAAGAGCTTGAGAGAAGGTTGACAACCGCTCCTATTTTGATTTTGCATGATTCAGACGAACCGTTTGTTGTGTATTGTGACGTTTCATTTATGGGTTTAGGAGGTGTGTTGATGCAGAATTGACAGGTTGTAGCTTATGCTTCAAGGAAACTTAAAGTACATGAAAATAATTTATCTGACTCATGATTTAGAGTTAGTTGTTGTTGTGTTTGTATTGAAACTTTGGAGGCATTATTTGTTTGGGTCGAGATTTGATGTGTTTAGTGATCACAAGAGTTTAAAATATTTGTTTGATCAGAAAGAGTTGAATTTGAGGCAGAGAAGATGGTTGGAATTCTTAAAAGATTATGATTTTGGTTTTAATTACCATCTCGGTAAAGCGAATGTTGTGGCTAATGCATTAAGTAGGAAGTCAATGCATATGTCGATGCTGACGGTATGAGAGTTGCAATTACTTAAGAATTTCGAGATATGAGTTTGATTTGTGAAGAGACTTCTTCTGGAGTTAAGCTTGGTATGTTGAAGCTTACTAGTGGCATTCTTGATGAGATTCGAGAAGGTCAAAAATCTAATTTGAGTTTGGTAGATAGATTGATGTTGATCAATCAAGGTCGAGGTGGCGATTTTCGGATTGATGAGAATGGTATTATGAGATGTCGTGATAGAGTTTGTGTTTCGAAT